CTCGGGCTCCGCTTCAGCGGGAGCCCGGAGCTCTGCGAAGCGCAGCACGAGCTCGCCTCGACTGTGGAGCCTGCACGCGAGTGCGTGTAAACGTCTTTCTTTTCTTTTCTTTTCTTTTTTTAAAATTTTTCCTATGTAAGAAATCTTGGATCACAGATGATGGCCTGTTGGACAACTCATCTTGATCCTCCTAAAAATCAGTTGTGCGTTTTCTGTATCCTCTAACTTTAGCAAAGGGACCAAAACCAAATGCTGGCATTAGAGCCATTTGTGAACGTTAGGAAACAGATTATAATACTACTCTTTCAGCTTGAGCTATGCCTAGATCCTCTCGACCAGAATGGAAGGCAATGTCTCGGGGGATTCCAAACCCACACATTTAATTTGCTTTATTTTTATCCTATTATGTTATCTTACACCTTTTCTGCTCTTTGCCTCTCCTCAACCCCTGTGGCAAAGAATCATTCTCTAATTTCTGAGCTTACTCATGCCATTTCTAACTGTGCGAGCTCCCACTATGAATTTGTGTATATTATTGTCAAAGTGGCATAATTTGAGACTATATGGACAAATAATGAATTAAAATGCAATGGATGTGTCTGAATTTGATAACCAGCAGTACTGAATAGAAACAAAGGGGTAGGGGAAGAAGTAAAATATAAGTGAATATCTCCCAATGTTTCATTTCAAAATAAGCAGGGGCTCATCTGTTTCATAATTATGTAAGCTTGCATTAAAAAAATTAAAACAGAAACTGTCCTTGGAATTGTAAAAAGAAGTATCAAAATCTGGCTGAGGCAGACTTGCCTTACCGGGTCTGTAGATGGACAGGAAAACCCATGCAAGGGAAACTTGCCCCAGTTGTCTTACTTGGGCGTCTCTAAAAGCAAATATTTTCGTTGTTGTCATTTTTAACTGTTTCCCTACTGGCAGAACAGCTTAGCTGAAAAGTTCAGCTGGGCTTTGGGCAGGACGGGGTAGAAGATCATGGTGTCTCCTGCTTTGGAAATCTGTTGTAGCTCAGAGCTCTCAATTCGGCGCAGTCAGACACTGTGTGAAGAAGACCTGTCCTGCCCAGCTGCAAAGGGCTGGAAGCTTTTGGAGCGCACTGCCCGCATCTGTGTGTCGCATGGCTCCTGCCTGTGCTGCTTTATGGAGATTGTGCAGGTAGGGGGTACTGTGGCCTGCATAGCTCAGTACCCTGATCTTACTTTTTGAACTTGAGTTGTTTCAGACTTAGAGCAGTGTTCAGGAGAGGAAAATCAACCTCCCAACATCATTCTGTGCTGGGGTTTCAGTGTGTGTGGTACATGCCTGTATGCTTTGTACAGTGGACAGACAGTGTGGTTTTTGGATATGCATTTGGCAGATGTCTCGGGTCATTATACTGCCGTTCATCTTTCAGATATAAAGAACTTCAGAGTACATTTGTAAGAGTGTTAGCGCGGTGGGAGCTTGGAACACATGAGACAGGAGTTTAAAAAAAAACAACCTCCTCTCTCTCTCTCACTCACTTACTCACTCTAATTTGCCTTTTTGTAAAGCATTTTATGATAGGAGACTGGAGCTCAATCTTCATGTAGCTGAAAGCACAGATTTTGTCCTAAGAATTCTGGGTTTGCTGCCTGGGCAGGTTTTGGTGTCAGCTATGGGACATGCTTGCAGAAACTGTGAGAATAACTTGACTCTTAGCACTTAAAATAGTTTTTATTTAGGTATTTGTTTATTTCTGGGGATGACCATTGCTAATGATTCATTTAAATGCTGCCTATGGATTTGGCACTGACAAACGGTGCTATGAAACCTGATACAGCTGCTTGACCTTGGTAAAGCTATTTAAATTGCTTGTGAGCTATTTAAATTGATGTTTTAGTTCAGTTTACTAGACAGTGAGGTGTTGTCAAGTTTTACAGAAGTCATCTATACATTTGAAAAAATAGTGTCTGTCATTCAGTAGATGTGGAGGGAAACAAAAAGTCTCCTTCAGTGACCATTAAAGTCCATGCAAAGGTTCCTGCTGGCTAAGAACCATTGTCTTTGGGCCTAGCCCTTGTTTTGCATCTCACTATAGAAATGTTTTCTTTGAAGGGGGAAAAAATCTTTTTGTAAATCACCACTTTCCTCTACCATACACACCTGTTGTTACCTTAGTAGGCTAAGGCTTAGAATTCAGCTATTTTAAAAGCACAATGTAGCACATTTCCAGTTGTGGAGACTTCTTTGTCTGAAAATATCACCTGATTGGTCTTTTTGTGCTGCAGCAAAGAGCTAATAAAGCCCAGAAAATGACTAGCTTGTCTACTACTTGGATTTTAGTGAGCTCTGTCTGCTAATCTAATAACTATGATCTAATTCAATTTGACCTCAATTTAAACAGTATAAGCTAACTTGCCAGTTATAAAGGTGCTTCAATTTTAGTTATTGGAATGATTTAAGGAGGTAATGGCTACCTTCTTATTCCTCTTCCTGTATGCTTACATTCTTTTACTACTTTTATTTCTTTAGTATCTTTGCATTTCCTTATCTGTTACAAAATATTTCTTGTTACTAGGCATGTGACAAGTATCCAGTCTGGATTAGATGTGTAAATCGCTTCACTGCTGCTGAAGGCGTTATGTGTGTATTATCTCCTGGATTAAAATCCAACTAATTTAAATACCTTCTAGCCATAAAATTGAGTTTGAAATCCATTTTTGTAAATCATATCAAAAGATCAGCCACCCAAACATTAGAAAGTATTGGAGAAGGGCCATATACCAATGTAAAAGTCATATGCGTGTTTACATATATGAGTGTGCGCGCTGTAGAAGTTAACGATGAGCTAGCTCATAGCACTCATTTCTTTTGGCTGATTCAAGTCTGCGCTGTGTCGACGGGGGCTGCTGTGGTAAATTTGCTGCAGGCCTTGGCAGGGGGTACTCGGCTGCCCCCATGCCCTGGGGAGCCCAGGACGCCTCACCCACAGACTGCAGGGATGGCGCACCGGGGCCCTGCGCAGGCACCTCTGCCTCATCTGGGAGGGCTGTGTCCCCGTGCCATCCTCCAGGAAGGCAGGAGAAGGTGTTTCTAAGCCTGGATCAAGCAAAGACGCAACCACACCTCAAGGAGACTGGACTCATAATTT